TGGCCTTGAATTGCAGCAATCCTGCCTCAGGCTCCCAAATACTAGGATTACAGGCGATCACCACCATGCCCATGAAAGGTACACATTTGGTTGCTAATGAGTTCTTGAGCCCTGTTTGAGTGTGTACTAAAGAGATGGACACAGCCATGACCCAGGGACACTTGTGCAATCAAGCACAGGGGTGGGGGCAACAGGTGAGCAAGCCATGCGCAGGCATCTGGTTCCTTTAGAAAAGAGAAGCACAAGTGCTAGAGTAAAACTGTATGCCTTTATTCAACAGGAGTCATTGAGATACAGTTTGTCCATGTGCAGAAACATCGTACATTCAACTCTGAAGAAGGTAGTTTCTATACGACCCATAAAAGGAAAAGTGTAAGCGTAAGAGGAATAAAGATGACAGTGAGGAGCTAAAGGTAGAGTTTATCTGTCAAAGTGCTAAGGCCTATGTGCATAAAGACTTCAGTGTGAACAAGACCAATGTAAGGCCATGTCTTCCCTTCTGGTTTTTCTTGGTGCTGGTGAAAGGTATGTTACAGAGACACAGAATTAAGAGCAGTTTTGGAAAAAATAGATCAATGCACTTATGAATAGAAGTTTTTCATTTCTAGAGTTTCATTCGTCATGTACTCTGCAACTTTCATGGATTCTAGAAACTGAATTCTTTGCTCTTTAATCAGTAGTTTATTATCAGAGAACTATTATGTCCTTCCCAGCCTAGAACCTATTTTCTCACCTAACAGAGTAGACAAATATGAGACTGGAAGAATTTTAATTTAAAATGTGTGCAAAGTGACTAGATATAGGTTCAGCTGGGGTCACTATGAAGTCGCCAAATGGTTGTTGCCTGAAAATCTAACATGAAAAAGAATCGCTGACTTAGGACTAAAGCCCATCTTCATTTCCAAGCTCTAGATATCTGAAAACATGAAACTCTTGGGTTTCTTACAAGAACTTACCCGACATGTAAATTTTTATATACCATTCTTTCCACAGGAAGTATATAGGGTGTGTAGAATAAGTTGTAAAGTATTTTTATATGCTTTTTAATGCACTGCTTTCTTATTGGGCTAATTTGAATTTTAAATATTTAAAGAGAGGATCTCTAATTAATTTTAACAAAATGAAGTCTTGACTCAAGTTGGTCAATAGTGTCCATGAAGCCTACATCCATTTCACTTAACAGATACAGGTGTGTGACCCCAAATCCTGATTAGTGGCCAAAGCTGCCGCAGTTCAACACAAAATCATCCCTTAACCCATGGAATGGCTGAAATCAAATTCCATGTTATGCTCATGGCAATTCACCCTAACAGGGAAACCCCAAACATTTTAAAAAACTTTAAGTTAATTCAAAATGTTCCTAAATCTACACCTCAGGTTTACCTTTCTTCAAGGCATCCTCCAGTTAAGATAAATATCAAGACCGTCCTCACTCCTGCCAGCTTCTTTTGAAGAACGAGGAAAATTGAATTTGAAGCTGCTGTTCAGGAGAACCCATTATCTTGTCACAGCTGATCTCTAACTTTTTAAGGTTTTCTCTGTCCTACCTACTAGGAAGAACTTTTTTTAGGGTTTTTTCAGATGAAGGATGAAAGCTATGTGGAAGTACACAATATTCCTTGGCCAATCCAGTATGAAAGAAACCCAACCTTCAACAGTCACCAGTTACTAGGAAAATAGAGGGTATCCACCCTCCCAGTTTCTGAACAGAGTTGAGACTACACTGAATAGTGGAATACATCTAATATCTCTGACTGAAAGGTGAATACAGATATCTTGGCATACAGAAACTGAGTTGCAAATCCAATAATCTGGATTAAAGACAAGTGGTGAGGAAAAATCAAGACTAAGCACTGACAAAACACAACCATTTATCCTCTTAAAACTTTTCTACCCCAAAAGTCCTAAAGAATTAGGATTTGCATCACTAAAATGAAAAGGTATAGGGCAGTGATGGCAAACCTTTTAGAGCTTTCAATGATACAACCAGGCTGCTGCAGCATGCGTGCTGTAGGTTTGCCGCCACTGGTACAGGGTAATGCTGAAGCCCTTTTATTTATTTTTTGCCGAAGCCCTTTTAAATTCAAGTTCTATGACTTACAAGAGAAAAAATAAGGCCAATTCTACAATGGAAGAAGGGAAAACCAAGAACACCCACTTTATCCCTTATGGAGAAAACAGGATACAACTCAAAATGAAGAGACAGCTCCTTCCCACCTAGATGATGAAAAATTATGCTTTAAAAAACTCCCTTGAGGGGGCCAGGGATTTAGCTCAGTGGTCCAGCACCTGCCTTGCAAGTGCAAGGTCCTGAGTTCAATCCCTGGTACCAAACAAAACAAAACAAAACAAAAAAACCCCTCCCTTGAGCTTCTACTGAGTTTGAACAGTGACAGGCAAGCTATGTTACTTACCCCAACTGTTATTTGAAAGGGTGTTAATACTGACTTGAGTTAGTCCTAAGGGACTGCTTTTGGCATGCCTCCTTGTCTCTTTAGATTTAAGAGATTTCTCAAAATCTGTCAATTCTATTCCCACATTCTCAAAAAAGGTAAATTTTACTACCATGACTGCTCCCTTCCCCATACCTATTTTTCATCTAGAGGCACTGGTTTTTCTTCGTGTTTTGCTACTGCTTTGTCCAGCACCTCTAATACTTGTACTTTGTAACTCATTTGTACTTTGAACATGTCTTGGGAAAGATGTAGCACTGATTACTCCTTCAACGACAAACATGCTGTATGACTACTACTGTAGGAAGAACTTTTTACACGTTGCCTGACTGCTTTTGCTTACCCCTGCAAAACTGCTCTTTAGTAGTGCTTAGCACATAGTAGATGCCCAGTAAGCATTTGAATTAGAAACATGGGTTTGCCCATAAAAAATTAGAAACATGCAAACTCTAACTTCTGAAGACTGAATGAGGTCAAGTAGTCTAAAGAGCACTGAACAATTTCTAAGGCTCTGTGACGTGGGTAGATGAGGATCCAAGTTGCAACGGTCCTGTGTTCTGGTATATTGCACTTCCTCACTCAACCGCAGACCAACCCCACCTCTAGCCTCCATGTCACCACCTGCATAAGAACTTACTGCCCACGAGGTAGGCTGCCAACCTAAATGATAAAATGTCAATCAGCCTTTGTAAATGGTCATAATGGACGATTTATACACATTTAAAGAGCTCACCTTCATCTCTTACATTGGATTTACAAGGACGCAGATGTTCCCTGAGATTGACTGAACTTCTTTCAGAAACAGTGCATTTTCAGCTAAGACTTAGTATGCTGTTCTCTTCGAGGGCTGAACTATCTCCGGTGTCTTGTGTTATCTGGATGTTTGAAATTTCTGTTTAAAAAATAACTATTTAGTCCACTCTCTTTTTTGGTACCAGGGATTGAACTCGGGACCTTGCACTTGTGAGGCAGGCAGCAGCACCACTGAGCTAAATCCCTGGCCCTATTTAGTCCACTCTTAACCACTACTGGATATATGACCCTGCTGGGCACTGGAGTTTCTGATACCTTAGAATCCAGTAGAATATTACCACCCTCATCTCCTATTCCACAGATTTTCACCCAGCGGACTTGCTTTTTAGAAAATTATCTTTTTGGGTTTTTTTTAGTACCAGGGATTGAACTCGGGACCTTGCGCTTTTGAGGCAGATGGCAGAACCACTGAGATAAATCCCCAGTCCCTAGAAAATTATCTTTTTAAAAGCACTGCTGTGTATCCTTAATTTTCAAAACATGCCTTTTCTGTGAAAAGAGGAGCAGAGCAATTTGGGGGGAAAACTAGTGAACTACAATAAGCCAGTTTCATCGGACTTTAAGATACATACACCTATATTCCCAGCACTCAGGAGGACTGCCAGAGTCCGAAGCCAGCCTGGTCTACATAGTGAGTTCAAGGCCAGCCTGAAACTACAAAGTGAAACTCTGTCTCAAAAAAACAAAACAAAAAACCCAAACCCCAAGCAAAACAAACACACAAAAAAACCCCAAACACAAACAAATTCTTGAGCTGGGGATGGTAGTGCATGCCTGTAATCCCAGCACTTGGGAAGCTGAGGCAGGAGAATCACAAATTTGAGGCCAGCTTGAACTACATAGTGAGACCTTGTTTCATATTCTTGAAAATCTGACTATACCAATTTTCCTTTCAGGCCATCAATGAATCTACACATTATCCATGTTTAAAGAGGATATACACCATGATTTCCAAGGACCTACCTATCTAGGTATCACTTTGCTCCCCCGTCACATACTAAAATCCAGTATTTCTTTTACAACCACAAAATGGGTTCTGTTCAATTAGCAGTCTAAGTGTGGGTGATCAATCTCCCCTAACACTCAGCTCAGTCCTTATTTCCGTAACTGCTCTTGACACAAGGGAGTTCAAAATCCAAGGGTCAAATGCTGAAACAGAATCTAACCAAGGCAGAGATATTTCTCTTTGCACAACTATCTTAGCTCTTCAATGTCTCCATTAGTCAGGCAAGACATGACTACAACTATGGCTATGAAATTCACTTCTCAGGGAATTGAGAAACAAATCATATTTTCTGCATCAAGAGGTTATTTCTTCACATATGCCAGGGCCTGGAGGGGGGTGGCAGTGAATGTTTGCTAATAAATTATTAATTACCATGGAGAAAAAAAGAGAAAACCTATTTCCCCACTGAAATATTTCCTTATCATTCTGTTTTAGAAGCAAATAATGGGTATATCTAAGAGACTTTTTTGTGTTTTCTTCACTTTTCCAGTAACATTTCCAGTGTTTTCTCCACTTCTGGGAACAGATTTTGGGGACAAACATGGAGACAGAAGAATACGTAAGTTCTGAAAGAAATGCACTACCCTGGTTTATCGCCACATTCTTCACTGTAGTCCTTTCCACAAGGTCTGTGGTAACTTCCCGAACAGTATAAGGCAACAACTGAAGGCCTAGGCCTTTCCCCGCCACTCGGGTGTATGTCAGACCTCAAGATTCATCAAAAACTCCAAGGTTTTAATGTCACTTTTAATTATCTTTTACTCAATAATAAAATGAAAAATAATATATGAATACATACAATCTATATACATATATTTATTGCAAATACTTAAAATTTTCTTATGTAAAATGATTTTCTCTGTATTTGTGTAAAAATACGCCTTATTAAATGGTGCTGACACCAGCTTCTCTGTACATACCCTCAATTCCAACGTTAACAATTCCTTGAAAAAGGCAAGACACAAAAGTTCAGCATTTACCAAACCAGTCTGTACAAACCTTATAGCCAGAAGGAAAAAATAGCTTGTGGTAAATAAGTCAATTTCCATTTAAAATAAAAAATAAACCCCAAAACTATCCCCCTTATTGCATTTCTGGGAAATAATCTGAGTATCTTTAGAGCAACTTCCCTTGAAATAATGTGTACCTTAACAGTGCGGTCTTACATTAAACATTCCATATGTGAGAAATTCAGTCCTCCTCTGTCACTTTTTACATAGATATTAAAATATATATTACTTAAAATATATTACTGGAAAGCTATATTTAAAATTGATCTTTAATAGTTGTATCAAATGTAAAGCATTAAAAAAAAATAAAATAACCAAGACTCTAAGAAGCTATTGCTTCAACTTTACGAAATGTCTTACCCACTGCTTTCTTTCAGCGGGTATGCAGGTACTGAAACATGTCGGAGAGGACCCTGCCTACCATCATGTTTCTCAGTCTCTTTGGACTCTTCAGTAAAATGAGTTGAAAATTATCCTAGGCCAAGGCGTTTACTTAACACACTCTTGTAATGGAATGGAGACTTTCTCCTCCGCATTATGTCAATGTGATGTTGAAAGTGACCACGGCACTGGTCATTGACAGTGTTTTAGAAATAAATAGCAGTACGATGACCAGAGACCTTTAATTATGGCTAATCATTTAACCAAAGAGTTCTTTAAGGATCTCAAAGGCCAAAGAAGGCAATAATTAGCAGTTAGGATGTAACAGGGCATTACTTACTACACACGACACCGCACCTCATCCGGAAGGCAATGAGGTCTTCCTTTGGCAATCTATTTAAATCTGAGATAAGCTCTAGAACATCTCCACCTGCGTCTTCCCAGCCAATGTAAGCATATTTTTCCCCACCCCAAGGAAAGTTTCCCATTGGCCAGCTCTTATTCTTAGAAATGTTACACAGACTACAGATGGCTTCAGTATTTTGAACATAGGGGCTAAGGAACTGAAGTAGGGCGAACAAATCTGGGTTATTTGGCTTTATTTTCTACTTAACAGGATGAAGAATTTTGATTAATTAAAAATCTTAAGATTTGGGGTTTACTGGACAACTTGGAACATTTATAAATCAGACTGAGATGACACATTATGAATGCTCTTGCTGGGCTGAGATACCTGAGGGGCAGGGAGGGCATACTGTCAGCACATCCTTCAGACATACCCGCTGCATCCCTGGAAGGTGCCACTTAATGCTCGAAGATGTGCTGAGCATTTATTAAGAGTGAATTTAAAGGTAAAACAACTAAGACAGAAATTGCTTTAAAAGTACTGAAGTACTATACTGTAATAAAGGGGCCAGACTTTTTCTTTACTATTCAGTTTATGAAATGAATGGCTCTCAATTTGAAACCACTGTTTTTAAACAAATTAGTAAGTGGATCAGTATTTAATTTACTACCACTCTAAGAGTCTATTCTCTCATCTGGCATCTTGTAAAGCCTGACGCACTGTATCTAGCCGGCAATTTGTTTCTGAAGTATAACTAAATGCAAGTATTTTGCTGGGAATTGTTTAGGGGAATCTCATGAACAACAAAGCTTGGGACCTAGCTGCAGGGCTGGATCGAGAGGAAGCACCATGTGGTTTCCTCTGTAGATGGGACTGAGAATCCCTGATGCTCTCCTGGCCCAGTTATACTCCATCCATCTGCAGATAAAGGAATTCATTAAAGGACGCTTTTCTGGCAGTCATGAAGCAGAAAAGTCACTTTCATCAATGCAGACTGGTAATGGACATGCAGCAGGGGTCAATTCTGAAACATTCAGCCTCTCTAGGCACACAGGCCAGCTCTCAGCGCTGTCATGGGGGTGGAGCAAGCGGCTGGGCACACAGAAGTCTTCCTCACCAACAGGTTTTGTTTGAAGCAGGGTCTTGCTCTGTAGTTCAGGCTGACCTCAAACTCACAGCAATCCTCCTGCCTCAGCCTCCTGAGTGCTGGGATTACAGGCGTGTGCCACCACACCTGGCAACAACAGGTTTTTAAAACCCCACTGGAATTACCCAGGGCATTCAAGTTTGGGAGCAGGGCAACCCCAGTTTCTGTTTCCTACTGGCCCTTCACTGGAGAACTTATTTTATCCCTGGATGCTTGAAGCCTTTTAAACCTCTCAGGTATGTACGCGGTGGAAGAAAAAGGGAGGATTGAGGGACATCATATTGTCTTGGCTGAAACTGGAACAGTAATCAATCTTGTATTTGCCTTGAGCCACAACAAATGAGCCAGAGAAGAAAAATAAGAAACTGGAGTTTCTTAAGGCGTCTGGGGCAGACACTGCTGGAAAGCATTTGGGGGTGAGGTGGGCAGGGGTGGACAGCAGAATGGGAGTCTAACAGATTATTGCCTCCTTTCTCCTGGTCTGGAATGTGACTTAATAAAAAGGTTTAAATTGTCCTGAAATTTGTAAGAATCACATCTAGAATATTAAGTATAAACATAACTGCACCAGGTTGTATTAATATTACTTTACACATCTCAAATTAGGAGAACTGAAATAAATAAGCAAATGTGCAAACTGACAATCTTCTTAAAACCAAATTTTGGTAAACTATAGGGTTAAAAAAAAGTTCTTTAATCATGACTTAAAAAGTATGCATTCAAAAAAATTTAATCACTAGAGAAGGAGTTTAAAAAATTAAAAAAGAATTAAAAACCCACAAAATTTTGGAACTAACTTTCCTTCCTTGTCAGACCATCCCTTAGCCATTCACTGAAGCCCTTTTATCTTAGGCATCCCTAGCACAGAGAGCAGTAATTCTGTAACAGTGGACTTATTTTCAAAAACAGCAAAGTGTCTTGTACTATGTTTGTGTGCACATACGTGTGGGTAAGGTAAGATCTAGTAAGATTACTCCATCCTTGTCAGATGCCTGCGAGGTCGAAACAAGTTGAACAGAAGGAGCAAACATGCTGCGTAGGAGATTTTCTACCTATCCCAACGGCTGACTGTGAAACGCTAGGTAACGGGTTGGGAGAGAAGAGGTAAAAATACTACACCTTGTTTCTAGCATTAAGTGGTCTTCCACAGTTCTTTACACTCAGTTTAAGCTTCTGTAATTTAGTCCCTGCCCAATGACACACAGCTGAATGCATCCCGTCACTAACCCTTGCCCGCTCACTGCGTACTCTCACGCATGACAAAGTGCAGGGTGTTGTTGCAGTGCTGTCACCAGGCACAGAACAGTCACAAAGTGGGGCCCTGAGGCACTCCCTCCACAGGCCAGATCGTCCTTTCAGACCGGAGGGTGGGATTAGGGGACAGCGGGGCTCTGCATGGTGGCGGTGCTGGTCTGTGTAAGTCAAGAACCAAGTCAGGGCTTGCTGGGTCAGAAAGAAACACTCCCTGTGACATCAATACCTGTGGAAAACTTCCACGCAAGAGGGTTCCATCGAAGGTCAAGAGACTGAGCAAACTCTGAATCCAAATCTTCCAAAGGCCAAATAATCTACGAATAACCTACATCCAGACCCTGCAGACAAAATCAGCACGAATGGCCGCTTAACAGACCATTCCTTCCTTTTCCTAAGTTTCACAAAAGGCCAAAAGGGAGACAGCTTCCTTTCACCATGCGTGGCATTCAGCATTTCTCAGTGTCACGTGAAGTGGAACATACACATAATTTTAAAGAATACATCATCACCTAAACACTGAAAAAATGGTAACCAAATGTGACATATTTACATGATTTTTTAAGTGCAAACTTGTCACAAATTTACAAAGTCTTGCTTGACTTAAACTTACTATACAAGGTGCTCTTCCTCTAAAATCTAAAGGACCTGTACTCTGTATTCCTGATTAACATTTGTCTCTTAAGACAACCAAAACCTTATTTCTGTGATTCCAAAATGATGCAGAAACACATCTTGTTAACCCTACACTTCCCCCTCCTTTTACAGTGTGTTACATCTTTCAAGATTCATTACCGAACAACAAGGCAGGAGACGCACAGTTTGGAGGGGCCGATGCAATCATCATGGCAGAAAGCTCCACAACCTTTGCACATGATCATGGCTTTCAACCGGCAGTAACATTTTGAAGGTGTGTCCTCTATGCTGTTCTCCTCAGGAAAGGTCTGAACAGGAATTGTCTGGCCATGGCTGCTGGGATTCATAGCTTGGCTAGCAGGGATGGTAGTGACAGTCACTGAGAAAGACATGACATCACCTACATTGCTAGACACCTGGCTACCCGGTACAGCAGAGTTATGGTCTGCTTCGGATGAGGTGGAGACATTGATCATGCCTCTGTAGCTTGGCCCTATCTGTGTGGGGCTGCCATACAACTTTGGGGTTTGCAGTGGTGGAAGGAGTAGAGGCTGATGGGTGGGACTGTCTGCAGGCAGAGAAAAACCAGTAGAACTGAACAGCTCAGGGCTGCTGCGCATTGCCTTACCCCTAACGGCCTGTGCCATTTGTTTCTGTGCTGCCTGAAGAAAATCTCTGGCTAAGGTCTTTTCATCAAATGTCTGGCCTCTGGGGAACAGGTAATTCTCCTTGCTTAGAGTGGCATGCTCATTCACTGGTGTCTCAGCCTTCATGGTTTTGTTAGTTAAACAATCATTGCTGGATGGGGTTTCTCTACTGTGGGGTCCTGAACTTGTGTCATGCTTGCCAGGACTCTGGGCAGCCTTGGGCTCTTCCTTCACCAACACAGAGTCCTGCTCATCACCAGTACTCTCTTCATCAGTTTCATCTTCTTTGCCACTACTACTATCTCCTGTTGTGTTTTTACAATCTGAATATCCCATTCTCAAGGCTTCAGTGGGGCTAGTTAGACAGAAGCGGTCTTCGGGGTTTATAGAATGGCTCCTTCTACAGCTCTCTGAACTTCGGCCATAGGTGGAAATATTCAGTAAGTAATGACCTGCCATTGCAGGTTTGGATGTCCTTCTGCCAGCAAAACCCAGCATGAACCTCTGGCTTGTGGAGATGTCCTCTAACTGGAAACCTGAGTGAGCAAAGTTGAATTGGGAGGGAGGCACAAACGAGAGAACATTCTGCCTCCGAACCCTCTGGATGAGAGTCTGAAGGATCTGATCTTGGGTTGCTTTACTTAGTCCTTCTTGGTACTGGTGAGTGTCAATGCTAGAGTCCCTCAGACCCTTAGCTGAAAAAAGTTGCAGGGGCCTTTGAACCTGGGGGAGCTGTTTACTTTGCAAGGTTTTCCCTAGCTGCTGGATGACCACTGGATGGGGCTGTCTATCACTAACCGCCTCTCTGGTGCTGTTTTCTGTTCCAGTGGTACCTGTAAGTACCCCTACCCCCTTTTCCTCTTTTGTTGTCAGTGGAACAGTTTTCATTTCAACTTTGGTGAGAGGCTTAGGCAGAATTTGCTCCATGGGAACATCTTTGCCCTGGAGAAGCTGAGTAACTAAAGGATTATTAGCAGGGATACTAGAGCTTGATCTTGAAATGGGTCCATTCATATTTGCAGAAGTTCCTGGGGTTTTAAGGCTAGAAGATGCTGAGGGTGGAGCTGATCCAGTAGATGCTACAATTACACTGGCCTGGGGTACAGGGAGCTTTTCTAAAGTAGTTGTTGTCAATAAAGACGTCAAAGGGGAGGGAGTCATATCCACTGGAGCATTAGCAGTTGTTTTTGTTGAGGCTGAAGGGTTGGGTGTATTCTTACTAGAACAAGCTTTGGATTCAACTGTGCCATCAGCTACGAAGCAAACAGGGGAGGCTCCTGAGATCAGAGCAGGCCCCTTCGGAGAAGGACCTCTCTCCTGTCCACATGCATTGAACCTCTGCGGGTGGCTAGGGGAGGTCATTGTGGCTGCTGCTCTGGGGGGGTCCGAGCTTTCATGACTCAGTTTGTCTACATGGGCTGGTGATGCAATGTTTGTGCATGCTCCACTGATGGCAGGTGCTGGAGGCACTGAGGGGGTTTGCTGTAGTTGTGCTCCAGAGACACTATGAGGCTGTGTCTGGCCTGGGGTCTTGGTCTCGGGTTGGGGTTGAGTGTCTGGACCGCGGGGTAAAAGCTCTCTCGAACCTCCCCTGCTTCCAGTTCCTGCCAGTTCCAGTGTAGGGCCCTTTCCAGTTGCACTGACTCTGTCTGAGGCTGGACTCCTTCCTCTGGCGGTTTTCCTTTCACCACCCTCTCCGGGACCTTGTCCACCCCCGGGGCCTGGGCCGGGAATGGTCCCTCCAACTGAGGCGGCTGCAGCGGCTGCGGCAGCGGCTGCAGCTGCAGCTCTCTGTGCTTTGACCAGCTGCGCTTTTGCTTTGATGTCTGCAAGAGTTCTGGCTCCTGTTCTGTTAGGACTAGTGATGGGGACTGGAAAACGAGCCCTGGGAGAGACCTGCGATGTAGGAAACGGCATGGGGGAGATTCTGGAGACCGGGATCTGAAAGAAGTAGGGCGGGGAAAACACAACGGAGATTAGTATTCATTTATAAGACAATTTCATTACCACTTACATTTTAGAGAAGATGGCTCAAACGGCACCTGTGAGAAGCGTGGCGAGGGGGTGATTGAGCAACAGAAATGTGTCTAGGGCCCTTCCCATTATCCCCACCACACAGGGCATCACACACACAGTGTCTGCCCAGGCTGGCATTACATTCATCGGTGCAGCCTTTTACAAATGCTAGGTGTGGGGGTGCACACCTGTAACCCCAGGACTCAGTCCAAGGCCAGCCTGGCTACATAATGAGTTCAAAGCCAGCTTGGACTACATAGAGAGACCCTGTCTCAAAAAAGAAAGTATGCTTTGGGTTCTATTCCAAAATATACAAATTGGAACTCACAGAAAAAATACATTTCTAAAAATCTACTTTTGATAAACTAATGCATTATCAGGTTTGAAACCACCACTGATTTCCATGTCATAAAAATCTGACTCCTGGGGCCGGGGATTTAGTTCAGCGATTTGGCCGCCTGCTGCGCAAGTGCAAGGACCCGAGTTCAATCCCCAGTACCAAAAAAAAAAAAAAAAAAAGTCTGACTCCCTCTCCTAAACACTACTTTAAGTCACTATAGTTAATTATAATGCATTGAGATAAAGGTATCTAGTTGCTAGTTGAGTTTAAAGGAGCAAATAATTGTTCAGAGATGTTCTAGAGTATTTAATTTTTTAAAAATTAAGCCATTAAGGTCTAAGAAAATGCATGCCATCCTTCTGGAAATCCTTACATTAATAGTAAGGCCACTAAGGGCTGGGAATTTAGCTCAGGGGTTCCGCCTCCTGCCTCGTAAGCGCAAGGTCCCGAGTTCGATCCTCGGTACCAAAAACAAAACAACAAAAAAAGTAAGGCCACCAAATTTTTTTTTGTTAATTTCTCAAAAGGTCGGCAGTCCTGGGCCAGGGATTTAGCTCAGTGGTTTTGGCGCCTGCTGCGCAAGTGCAAGGACCCAAGTTCGATCCCTAGTACCAAAACAAAACAAAAAAACAAACAAACAAAAAACGTTGGCAGTCCTGAAAATTGATTCTCTGTAACTCACAAGTTCAAGCTGTGGGATTGTAACAGTTGTCACAAAGCGCAAGTGTTTTACGTCATGAGACACACTTGATCTCTTGAGCCTGAGCTGGCTCTATACCAGTAGCATATTTACTCCGCACACTGCATTTCAGAAGCTGAACACAGTTAAGCAATTGCTGCCCTCTGTTAATGTCACTGAGAAGAGACTACAGGGGAAAATAGATGAAACTCGAAAACCAAACACAACAAAGTTACCTAGGGTAATTTTATATAAGGATAGGCAGTGGTACCTAAGAACAGTCTTGAGTGTGGGACCATATCTAGTATAATAAATGATATCTATCATAATGGCTGAAAATGATTAATAACATGTTGATATCAAAAAAGACAAGCATTAAAAGAGGCTAAAATTTTTCATACTTAATAGGTTTCATTTATTTGTACAGACTACCTCATGTGTGCATAATTTGTATATATTACAAACTTTATACATATATAGTATAACAAGTTATAACATTTGTACTAAAATTCAAATTTTGTTATCTATTTAATTTTGGTTAAAAGGTTTTGCTCTGTTATAAATTACATTAAGCTTTGCTATACAGATAGGATTTGAGATAGAGTCTAAATAAGAGTAAAGCGGGGCCGGGGATCTAGCTCAGTGGTTCCGCCGCCTGCCTCGCAAGCAGAAGGACCCGAGTTTGATCCCTGGTACCAAAAAAAAAAAAAAAGAAAGTAAATAAGAGTAAAGCAACTTTGGGCCGGGGATTTAGCTCAGTGGTTCTGGTGCCTGCCTCAAAAGTGCAAGGTCCTTAGTTTGATCCCTGGTACCAAAAAAAAAAAGAGTAAAGCAACTTTAGGAGCAATCTTTTTTATGAGGATGAGGAGGGAGGTAAAAGTAAAACATGGAAAAATTTATAAATTTAATAAAAACATAATAAAATATAAAATTGTATTAACTTGGTGAGAATAATTTTAATTTTTAATATAGAATTTCTGTGAGTTAGCAGAAAAAGTACAGAATAAAGTGTAACCCCCCTTCTTTACAGAAGACAAAATAGAAAGCAACCTAGTGTTGCTTAAAGTAAATCTTCAGCTGTAACTCAGCTTTTTTTTTTTTTGGTACTGGGGATCAAACTTGGGACCTGAGCTAAATCCCCGGGCCCATGTAACTCAGCTTTGATTGACATTCATTAAAGAAAAATTTCTAATATTTTTGTGAGAAGAAAAGCAAAGATAAAAATCAGACCATCTGGGAAAGCCTACCAATGTGATGTTCACAGTAAAACAACAAAAAGCTTAAGAAAGGAAGGAAGGAAGGGAGGAAGGGAGGAAGGAAGGTAGGTGGGAGGGATTCCTTAGTGCTGAAAGCACAAACCTCAAACTGAAAAAGGGGTGGAGGGTGCAGAGGACCTAGTCCCTGGGTTCAATTACTAGTACTGAAAAATAACTTTTGCCTTTTTTGTAAAGCAAAGCTGGAGAGGTAACAAATTTTTAATAAAATTTTAATCAAATGAAAAAAAATGAGGACCATCAGACTACTAGTAATAAAAAGCACTATGTAAGGTATTAGTGAGGTAGGGCATGGAATGCATCAAGTGTCAATAAGTTAAAGTTTCCAAGGGATATTTCCTGATAGGATTAACTCTGGTGAATAAAAGGGAAAGAAAAGTATTTTATGGGTTATTTCTATTTATATCCTAAAGTGAATGAGTAATGCCCAATGCCTGGGTTCTTGGTAGGCAAAATAGTATTGTTATTAATAAATACTACTTGTTAAATGATTAAACTACAAATTAATAATAAGCATAACCCCAAGTGTTAATAAAAAGTCACGAGGGCCGGGGATTTTGCTCAGTGGTTTCGCTGCCTGCTGCGCAAGTGCAAGGTCCAGAGTTCGATCCCCGGTACCAAAAAAATAAAAATAAAATAAAATAAAAATAAAAATAAAAAGTCACGATCAGGAGTAAAACTGTATTTGGGTTTCAAGGGCTCCCCACTGGTTAGACGTAGTCTTTACATATTAAGACAGTCAGAGACACTACCTCAGGCCCTTTGAAATGCAGCATGGTATGTCTAAGTGCAAGTTAATGCCATATGCTAAGCAGGAGAGCTCAGCAAGGCTACTCCATTTCATTAATATTCTTCAAGTAATCAGTGGGAGAGAGAACTGCCACAAATACTTAAGTTTTATGTGAAGGAGCTAAAGGTAGTTCTGCAACCACACAACATCAAACTGGGTAAGCACCAAGGCACACTGAAACAGTTCTTGGAAAAAGATAAGATCTTTTGATCACATCAATGGCCTCCATGTACTTACTGATATTTCTTATTTTGACTTGTAAGAGAATAATTTCCCGGTCTTATGATTCAAGAGTAGCTAGCACAGGGGAGTGAGAGTGGCTGACATTAGACACCCGGGTTCCTTAGTCAAACTGCAATAAAGTTCTGTAGGAACGCAGTTCTAAATGCCTGCTCACCAGTAATTTCATTTGTGTAAGATCACTGCTAGCTGCACACCAACATCAATACCACAATCCCTTGAAATTGGAGAGATGTGGCCAAAATGTGAGTGCTCAGGCCATCTCTCCTCTTCAAGTGCTCAGCCGCACTCTCTTACCTTGAGAGGTGGTACTTTTCGCACTTGCACCCGGTCCCCTCTATTAAGAAAGGGCTGTGGCGAGACCTGAAATGGCTGCTGGTGCTGGCGATCCTCAGTGACACGTGGCCTCTTCTCCCAGCTTGCAGGGGCGTCTTCTTGAGCAAGGGCAGATTTTCTCTTGAGGCTCTCTGGGCTCTGCTCAGCAAGAGTTGCCGGAGGTTCTTTCACACTGGCTTCCTGTGGACCTGCTTCTACTATGGGTTTCATTATTGCTTTTTCCACCCCAGGACTCTTGGGTTTGCTTGGGGATGTAACTACAACTTGCTGGCTTTCACTTCTGTTATAATTAGAGGCTGTGGCGAGATGATTCTCTTTTTCAGACTCCTGCTCAGCACAGGCAACCGGGCTCTGCTCCACGAGGCCCTCAGCCTTCGGGCACTTGCTGAGAATGGTTAGCTCATCCGTACTGCCAGCCGAGGCAGGGAGGGGCTCTGTGGACTGGAAGTTTGGCTGTGCCTTTTCTTGGCTTTCAAGCTTTTCTCTCCTGACCGGCGATGGTGTTTGCACTGCTTCTTCTTTACACTCTGACTGGGGAACTACAGGGACTTCGCTGACAGGTGAGACCTCTGAAGGAGGCATGGGTTTTGGCTGCTCAGCCGGGGTTTTCTTTGCTTTGGGATCACCGGGGGAAGATGTCAATTTCTTTGAATCTTCAAGGCTCAATCCAGAACTAAAAGTGGAAGAAGAAAATATTCTAGTTGAGAAATGCCCTATAGGATTGAAAGGATTCTGAGAAAATGGAATGTGAACATTTCTAGAAACACTTTTAACAGATAATAAGTTTTTTTATTTTTAAATTTCACTGTTAATGGGGGCCGGTGATTTAGCTCAGTGGTTCCACCACCTGCCTCGAAAGCACAAGGACCCAAGTTCGATCCCTGGTACCAAAAATACCCAAAAACAAACAAACAAACAAAAAAAATTTCACTGTTATTACTAATAGAGAATGTTCCACAACCAGAGTGATTAGACTCCAATCCTGGCTGATACTAGCTCCCCACGTGATGTTAAGTGACAAGCCTTCTGCACCTCAGTTTCTTCAACTGTACATTGGGGTTAATAACTTTAGGGTGTTGATACAACAGTTAAGTTATTCCATATAATATTCCTACACACCACATAATGACAGCTCAGTAACTGTGGTTACTGGTGTTACTTCTGCGTATGAAGGGGTCACATTGTCTAGAGGTATCCATTACAGACTACCTATGAAGACCTGAAGAAAGGTCAAGATCCATCCAGCCTGGGATCTGGGTTTGAACTGTGATCAGTTCTGCTTTGCAGTAGTTGTGGAAAGGATGGTCCAACAAATCTAAGACTGTAGGAGACTGGCTGTCAATATCTGGAAGAGGCTGAGAATTTTAACTTAGTTATGGGTGGGTGGGGGCTTGTTTGAAGCCGACTTCTGTCCAGCTCAAAAATTCTGACATCACATGCTGCTGAGCTCTCCTGGGGGTTTAGGTCAGTTGGCATTTTTATAGTGTGGCCTCATTAAAAGTTAACTAATCTTTAAGGGTCTTTAGTGATTCTCAATGTTTTAAACTATTATATAACAGACAAAAATCATTGAAACCCTCTCTGGTGACCTCAAAGAATCAGTACTGTACCTCTGAGATGGAACAGCTAAAGACAAAACTGGCCAGTAGAAAAAAATAGTTCTATAAAAGCTGGCAAAAGTAAACCAGTTGAAAACAAAAACTGCTCTGATGATCTACCTACCTAGCCAATATAGAAAAAATAAACAATTACTACAGAATTACTGCTAGCTGTAATAATGGTCCAATTACTTCTGTAGCTCAGTGCTTATACCAATAATGAAGACAAATCAGCCCTTGAAACTTTTTTATTTTTTGGTGTTTGGAGACAGGGTCTTGTGATGTATTCCAGGCTGGCCTTAAACTCACTATGTAGCCCAGGCTGACCTCAAATTTGCAGTGATTCTCCTGCTTCAGCTTCCTGAGTTACTGGGATTACAGGTGTGCACCCTGCCCCACGCACATGAAACTCTTAGTATCAACAGAAATCTATCCTAAATGAGTGTGAAAACGATCAATAAACACCACTTAGAAATAAGAAACAGACGTCTTCAGTTCAAGCTGTGGTTATGGAATATCTTTTTTTTTTGGTACCGGAGATCGAACTCAGGACCTTGCATTTGTGAGGAAGGTGGCAGAATCACCGAGCTAAATCCCCAGCCCTCTCTTTTTTTTTTTTTTTTTTGGTACCAGGGATCGAACTCAGGTCCTTGAGCTTGTGCAGCAGGCGGCAAAACTACTGAGCTAAATCCCTGGCCCGCTTATGGAATATCCTTAAGGGCTGCCAGTAGTATGCAAAAAGAAGAGAGAGAGACTAACAGTGGGGAATTTGGGTGTTACTTCCTATTTTAGACCAAACAGCTCCCTTATTTATCATTTATTTAAATGTTGCCATTAAGATTTCATGTGGACTTTTGGTTAGGGAAAAAACTGATTATATCCTTTTGAAAAGAGGCTTTGTGTCTTGATTCAGCAATGCACACCTCCAAGAGTACCTTTTCAGAGGACAGATGTTTACATCTGGGAGTAATGGCCCACATAATGGCATTCCTAGGATTCCTGAGTGGTTCTGAATAAGTTACATTTGAGGATAAATACTATAAAAATGCACAGAACCTTAGTATTCTTACATCTTACAAAGGTATTGGAAGAAAAGCCAATCTATTTCAAGGAAGGGGCTTTTAAATCAAGAATTTTCTTTAAAAGAATCCATCTAGCTATGATGCTAGTGATATTAAGGGTCAAGGATTATGAGTAATGCTATTCTGTGCACATATGATTCTTAAAAAGGAAAATTCTCGGTAAAGAACTGGTGAAATAAAAATTAAAGACAAATGGGCACTAGAATTTCTGTTATGGTAAAGAGATGAAGCACCATATAACATATGTGTCAAAATTTTAATATGTGGTTTGTAAAACCTGTCTTACTATTACCTCTGACCATAGTAGCTTTCAAAGAATTGTTCTTTCCATGGCTCCACTTTTTTCTCCTTCTCAATCTCTTGTCGAATTCTCACCTGCATCTCAGGTGTAAACTCACCTGTAATGAACCGCAAGAATGATACTGAATACATGTTATTTGTAACTATACATAAATCATGAGAGACTCATGCAGGAATCAGAATATTACCATGTAAAAATAACAGAAACTTCCCAAAGTATGTCATTATAAAGGAAGACCTACATGACACTGTGAAATAAAAGTCAGTCAGCACACTACTCAGTGTAGTTTTCAGCTGAGGCTTATCGTGTCTTTTCTCTGGGCTTCCCGTGCAGCACCTTCCTCCTGCTCCAAACATCATATACCATACTTATATCTTTATCTCTAACTTTGATTTCTAATTTATTTTCCACTGGCGCGGGGAACATGTTTTAGGTAAATAATGCCAATGGGAAAAGTTAGGTTTCTTCAAGGAAAATTGTATTTTAGGCCTTTTACCTCTAACTGCAAAATGAAAAGCCATGGCCTACTTAAAGGTATTTGAGATGCCAATAAAAAGGAAGTTATTCTCGAGCTGTTAGTTTTCTAATTTTTGTAGAAATTGTACTCTTCTAGTGTCTAGCAACAAGACACTCAGTGGGCCAAACCCCAGCTGCTCTGATGACGCCATTTATTTGCGTGCACTGCCAACCGCCTCAGTCTTTCTTCCTGCATCGATAGAGAACAGGGAAGATGCTTTGTGGGCAATCTCCTAACCTGTGACTTAAGTGGGCTGCCCCCTTTATACTCTAATACCTGAGAGGTTAAGGGATAAGAGGAAGAAATGGCAGAATTTGAAGTTTAAGACTTCCTAGGGGTAAAAAGAAGGAAAGGAAAAGTATTAAGGGGACTGTGGACATCACAGTCATGGGCAAAGGAATATGAAAAGACCAAGTTGGCTGTCAGAATCCAACCTAGAATTTCTGGTGTTGATTCTACTGTGGATCATAGAATGAGGAATAAAATGTACTAAACTCTGTAGACATTTATAGTGTTCAAAGCTTTTGTTGCTCATAAAATATGATCACGTGACTATAGTAATCAACTTGCTTACATGTAAAAAAAAAAAAGCAGCAATGATAATAACCAAGGAATCATTGTTGACAGCACCTACTCATGCAAGGGCTGGGGGGAGTTTGGTCTTAAAGTACCAGTAACTGGTATGTTTTAAAAGTATTTATATAATTTCAACTCTTTCCAGAAAAATGGGTGTCTGCCTAAGGAAATCTGAAAGGAAGAAGCGACTAAAGAAAACAGAGCAAGAGATCCATCCAACACAGAATTTGCTCTAAAAGTTGGTAAGATGGGGTGGGGATGCAGGTCAGCAGAAGAGGCCCTGGGTTCCACCTTCAGCCCCACCTCCCAAAAAAGAGGCCAGGAAGTTAATAATAATGATGAACATACGCATATATATATATATATATATCTCTACCCACTGATCACTTTAACTCTAGTTGTCAGGATGCAGTAAAAAGTGGGCAATGGATAGCATTTCTAATGATCTTAGATGTCTATTTTATGCTCCTCACACTTGTAACAAAACCTCAACACTAATGCTCAGGTACTACTCTAGAGCAATTGAACTCACTGACAGTGGTGCCTAACACCTATGTTTTTAAACCCTTGCCAAGTATTTCTGAGTAGCTCGGGTTGAGAGCTGCTAATGCTGGCAGATATGCTGCAGGGCTCACACAAACAGTAACTTTTATATTCTGTTATTTGTTCTCAGTAAGCCTAAGGAACTAGGCTAAAAGCACAGCACACATGGCACCAGTGACCACAGTGAGAGTCATTCTCAATCACAGTCCCTCTTTATTAAAATCTTCTGACTGATGTTTAATGGTACACTTAAGTGAACTCTTGTAGTATATGAAATATATCTCAGTGGTACTTTTATAAGCAAAGTTCTCACTGATCTCTTTTACTGTTGGTGCCCCTGGGGCTGTTAGTAATAAAGAGGCTGTCACACTGCTCGCCCAACTTGATGCACCACACCATAAAATACTTCTTCAATTTGCTTATTTGGGAGGTTATTAGCTTTTCAATTCCTAGAGATAAAAGTTACTCAAGCAGGATATTTAAAAATAGGGCCTAAAAATCTATTTTTAGTTTCTCAGGTGACTACATTAAAGAAACACTGCTGTACTCTATCAGGAGCCTACCTGGTTATACAGGCTCCAGAAAATGTCCTACGTGTTTCACACAGGACAGCTAGTCCTACCTTTTGGCAACTTTACCTGCAAAAATTGCTCAAATATCTGATAAGGTGAAGAGCCCTTATTGGGGTTTCAAGTTCGCACAGCTCCTGGGAGATCACATGAGGCAGAACACTCACCTTCTGACAGTCTTTCCTTCCAACCTTGGGCTGCTGAAGTGAAGAACTCATTGTTGAGGGCTGAGCCATTCAACTTCATCAAACCATCTGGACCAATCTGGGTCAAAGAGTAAACCAGGAAAAATGTCAAAGATCTGTGGCACTCAAACCTTTCTGATTCGTGGCACTAAGAAGTTGGTATCAGCTAGCCACAGCAGCATGAACCTGTGATCTCTACACTCTGGAGGCTGAGGCAGAATTGGTGGTTTGAATGAATGAAGCCTCAGGAACTTTTGGAGACCCTGTCTCAAAAAATAAAAAAAGAGCTAGGGCGAGTGATTTAACTCAGTGGTGCTGCCTACCTCACAAGTGCAAGGTCCCAAGACAAAAAAACAAAAACAAAAACAAGATAGGAATGTAGCTCAGTGTGAAGGCCTTGGGTACTGCTGGCAAAGAGAAACTGGTATCATTGTTGTCTCAATGCAGTCTAGTAAAACAATGATTTCAGAATCATTATTTCCTAACATCTGTAATATTCCAAGTAATTAATAGTTCCTCCTCCTTTAAAAATCATGAAAACGGGGCCAGGGATTTAGCTCAGTGGTTCCGGTGCTTGCCTCGAAAATGCAAGGTACCGAGTTCAATCCCTGGTTAACCCCCACCCCGCCCCGTCAAAATCATGAAAACAAGATGAAAGCAGTTTCCCCACCTTATAGTAAAGGATTAGTTATGTTCTCCAATTTACAGTAAGATATTAACAAAGAATAATAAACCATGACAACTGACTATAAATTTAGCTAGTAGCCCTACGAACTTAACACTGGGTTTCCCAAACACATTCCTTACTTTTTCTACTGTAAATTTTTACTTTAGTGTAATAGCAGGCTGTGCATCTCAGTACCTTTCCCTGAGAGATACAGGAAGAACTCTTTGTGCTTACCCACTTGGTAGGACAAATGGCAAGATGTGTGCACATGTGCAAAAATCTCAAACTGGGGTTTTCACTCACACGATGCTCCAGCTAACACGTTTTGTGTATGTTTACCTGAGCATCACAGAGGGTATAATACACCCAGACTCCTCTAGGATCTGTTTTTAATAAAGTCTTCTTGGGCCAGGAGTTTAGCTCAATGATGCTGCTGCCTGCCTCCCAAGCAGAAGATCCCGAGTTTGATCCCCGGTACTAAAAATTCTTTTTTGATTTTCCTGGTACAATGGTACACGAAAACTCAGATTTGCAAGTTTTGGAGGAAGACAAAAGTGAATCATCAGATTACTCATGCATGGATGATGAGTGATCCATTATGTACATGTTTTCATAACCGAACAATGTTATGGGTGGATGATGATGATGACTTTGACATTGGCCATGTGAGTCAAAGTTCTTGTGACAGTGAAATGGAGGACTGACTGACACAGACACAGGTAATGCAGACCTCCTTGATTTAGATGACAAAGAAAACAGCAATGTGAGTGCATATTTGACTAACTGCAATGTTGCAAAATGGTCATACAACCAAATGGAATGATCCAATGCTAGAACTGAGTCCAAAAATATAGTGAGGATCTTGGCAGGGTGAAACCCCTGCACGGAATGCCAGCACTGCCATTCAATGTTGGAAATTGTAACAGATGAAATGCTGTAAGATGTTGTGAAATACACAAATACCAGTAAAATGTTTACTGAAATACCAGTGGAATGTTCTGTATGGATTAATAGATATATTAAAAAATATTTTCATTATGATACCTTATTAGCTGAACTGAAAGCATTCATGTCTGCTGTACTTGGCAGGGATTTCTGATGGCAATTCAGGAATGTAAGACTTATGGAAAAGTGATAGGTCAAAATGTGGCATAAAAATTTATGCCATTATAGATGTGAAGACTTATTATGCTGTCAATTTAAAAATTTATCCTGGCTGGGGTTTAGCTCAGTGGTGCCGCCACCTGCCTGCCTCCAAGCGCAAGGTCCTGAGTTGGATCCCGGGTTCAAAAAAGAAAAAGAATTTGAGAAATTTATCCTGGAACTCAGCCATGAGGTCCTTATTCATATAGTAACAAATCAAATTATGTTGTTAACAGACTTGTTGTTCCCATCTCCCAAACTAATCAGAATGTGTCATCCTGACAATTGGTTTACCAGTTTCCAATCAATATTACATTTGCTAACAGAGCACAAGATTCCAAATGAAATGTTGCAATTTCAAAACAGAGAATATTAACAGTACAATATTTCGATTTGAGAAAGATTTCCATTGGCCTCATATATGGCAAAGAAAAACAACCTGTACTGCTGATGTCAACATTATACTATGATAGAAATATTGATAGGGCAACCTTGACAAAACGGAAGCCTGAGATAGAAACTTTCTACAACAAAACCAAAGGCAGAGTAATGTTGTTGATGAATTATGCAGCAGGTATGATGTCAAAACACAAAGCGTTGGCCAATAGTTCTGTTTCAGTTGATCCTAAACATGTGGCATAAAAAGTTTGACAGTTTACAAAGAAAATAAATGTAGAATACTACGGAGAAATATTCTTAGAGGAATGGGACTGGAACTCATGAAAGATCATTTACAGCAGAGGAAAAACAAAATGTTTCCGCCCAAAAAACTACACAAAAAAATCGTGAAACACACTGGTGAGCTGACTATGAACAGGGAGGCACAGCATCCCAAAGACCTACTACGACAACAGGAAAACCAAAAAGATGTCAACTGTGCCCTACAAGAAATAACAGGAAAATAAAACACATGCTATCAGTGTGACACTTGTGTCTAGAACATACAATTGTCATGCAATCATCATGTGTGAAGACTGCCTTGGGTGTGAAAAAAGAAGCAAAGATTATTTTTGTTGTAGAGTTCCACTGTTATTTTCATTGTAGTGCACATGGGTTTTTACTTCTGATCTTATCTTTTAGGTTTTCTAAGCAGGTACACAGCTGATGTGAAAACGTTGATGTTTACTCTAAATGCATAATATACACTAATAATTTAATACTTTATTTTACTGATATTTTATGTTCCTAGTAACTACACATTATATAATAAGAATCTCCCCACAGAACAGCAGGACCCAGCAAAATGTCAAGTATGTCCTAGAGAAAGACCAGGAAAACAAAACACATGTGCTGTCAGAATAAGTGTATACGTGTATGGGAGATGCTGTTGTCATGTGTAAAGACTACCTTACGTGTGGTAATTGAAGTAAAGATTTTTTTTTTTTGTAGTGTGCTATCAGTATTTTCATTGTAGTTCATACAGGAATTTATTTCTGTTGTCCCAGTCGCTTCTCGGCCTTTTGGCTAAGATCAAGTGTATTTCTGTTGTCTTTTTTAAACTGTACACCCAAAACAGTCAACGTTGAAAATTTTGATGCTTTTTAAAATAAACACTCATTAAAAAAGGCAATATTTCATTTTTGTGGTATTTTTTCCTGTTAAGCACTCATTGTTTAATATACTAAAACTCATAAAAAATAAAATTATTAGGGCTGGGGATTTAGCTCAGTGATTTTGCCACCTGCTGTGCAGGCACAAGGACCTGAGTTCAATCCCTGGTACCAAAAAATAAAATAAATAAATAAAATTATTAGTTCATCAATAGATATATTCCAAAGAATAAACATGGGTTTGACACACGTGCCTTTATGACAAAAATGTGTTGTGCTCCCTAATTCTAGATCAAGCTATAGCTTTCTGGTCCTGCTCAGTCTTCTAAATTCTGGGTATGTCTTCTTGCTACTTCTGTTTTCAAAGTCTAACATACAAAGCGGTACCTTGGTTCACAAACTTAATTCTTTCCATAATTCTGGTTGCACACTGAACTGTTTGAGAACCAAATCAAATTTCCACATAAGGAATCTAACCATTGGATGGGTGTGGTGGTACACACTCGTAATTCCAGCACTTGGGAGGCTAAGGCAGGAGGATGGATATGAGGCCAACCTGGCTTACACAGCAAAATTCTGCCTCAAAAAACATCATATCAAATAAAACAAAACAAAACAAAGAATCTAACCACTGAATTTCATTTGGTTTCTGTACAATTCGGTTTGCAACTGGAACTGTGGAAAGAACTGCATTTGTGAACTGAGGTACAACTGTATTGGGTTTTAAGTTCTTTTCTGTGACAGCAATGTTTCTTTTAGAAGATTTTCACAACATAATAAAAATGACAAACATGTCTAACTCAACCACTGTTATTCCATGTTCTTTGTCCTTCCAGATATATCAATCTATCTGAATCCATGTTTGGGGAATATTATTTTTTTGCAGGGCTCAGGATCAAAACCAGGGCCCCTGTGGATGTTAGGAAAGTACTGAACCACTGAGCTACACCCCAGCCCCAATTTTTCTTTTTGAAACAGTCTCACTGTGTTGCTTAGGTGAATCGCAAACTCATGATCCTCCTGCTTCGGCCTCCAGAGCAGCTAGAATTACAGGTGTGTGGCAACACGCCTTGCTTGGCTCATTCTTGTAATTTCCTACTCCACTGTGCCACTGGCCCATACCCTGCCGATACTGGATCAAGACAACCCTTCCTCCTGAACTGGAGTCTGTGGATGTTTATATAATACCAGGAAAGCTAGTCAAACTGAGTATGCAATCTTAACATTCTATTACGAATTTTTCCCCCCAATTAAATAAGTCTTACAAAGCCCAACAATTAGGATACTTACATATTTATTTCTTACTAGTACCATTAATATTGCTTCTTTAAAGATATACATAAAAAGATATTTTTTAAAATGTTAAGGAGTTCTAAATATGATGAATCAAAGAAGCCCCATAAGGGTTAAAAGTTGCTTATGCTTAAAATGACAAACCTGTCGATCCACCTCTGGAAGCAGTAAAAGCAGTCGCTGCTGGCAATCTCCAGGGAGGACTGAAAAGGTGTGTTTATTTATCAGTGCTCGCAGATTTGTATTAACCAGAATGGAGTCTGGGGTCTCAACATCAATGTCAGCACATTTAGTCCTTTTCATTTGTCCTAAAAAATAAGGAAAAGAATAATTTATACCTCCCTCACAGTCAGGTTTCTACCTAAACTATAGCTGTGCAGTGCAAAAAATCCAGAGATTAGAAATTTCTTCTAAGGCCACCAAAGCAGGTTTTATAAATTTATAGAAGATAAAAAAAATACAACTTATTTTTTCTGTTAAAAAAAAAGAACAAAAAAGGGCCGGGGATTTAGCTCAGTGGTTCTGCCGCCTGCCTTGCAAGAGCTAGGTTCTGAGTTCAATCCCTGGTACCCCTCAGCAAAAAAAAAGGTGTAAGTTTTTTTTGGCATACTAAAGAATGATCCCCCTCCCTAAAAAAACTGAGGTTTATAAGAAACGAATATATAACTGACAGCTTAGAGGACACAAGGAATAAAATGTAAATGAAAAAGCATAATGACTAATTTAGAGAAAACACAAGTCATGACCATAGGCTATTATTCTTAATATAAAAAGTGTCTTTACAAATCAGTAAGGAAAACAAATGCCAAGAAGAGGGAAAAAAGGCAAAGGGAATTAACAGGCAATTAATTCATGGTCCACTAACCACAAGCAGATGCTAAGACATTAAACTATCAAAATGGTCTATCTTGTAATCTAGTGATGGAAATACACATACAGTAAAAAGACCTTCCAAATACTGCTGATGGAGCTGAAATGTGTGGTATAATCTTACAAAAGAAAATTCGGTAATATCTGACATGTTTAAAATGAACAGGTCTCTTGGACTTAAGACATGCTACATCACACACAACACCCCATCCTTGATGTGGGCACCTCTGGCTCCCAAATGCTAAGCACAAGGCACTCTACAGGAGAATAAGGGATTTACCTCAAATTAGGCTCACAAGATTCCCACAAATTAAAATCCAGTACATCTCACAAATATCACCCAAGAAACCAGAAGTTATGCCACAAAAGTCACTGGAAACCAGAAATAACAAATTTAGACCCAGAAGCACTGATGCTATTAGAAATACACAAGACAGAATAGTGACGTAAAATGGTTAAAGAAACAGAGCATGTTATTACAAAGTCAAGAACAATACAATCAGGAGTATATTTCTTTCAGAGGTGGGATGGGAGTCAAGGCATTGTGCACGCTAGGCAAACACTCTATGCCCCAGGCCCAATCAGGAATTAACAGACTTTTTTTTCAAATGAGACTTTTACAGATGTAGGGTACCAACTGTTGAAATCAGCTACTATGGATGGATAAAAGAGCAGATGAGACAATACTAAACAGGGAGTTATAATGCACCATAAACAAACAATTTCTCCAGAATGAAAGAGAGAATGAGAATAAAGTATTTTCAGAGGTTTAGCAAAAACACGGATGACCGAAAGAGAACATACACCTGACTGGAAACCAAGAATAAGAAAATTAAAATGGAAAAAAGGGCACTCAGGAGGTGGGAGAATCATGAATTCAAGGCTCAAATTACAGTATTAAGTTACAATGTGAGACTCTGAACCCAGAGAGTGTAGTTTCAGAGTCTGTTCAATATCATCTCATGTGCCAAGGATTTAGCTCAGCGGCCTGCCTGGCAAGCGCAAGGTCCTGAGTTCAATCCCCAGCAACCCCCCTCAATTGTTACAGTAAAAGACACATTGCCAGTAATCCTCTTCAAAATATTCCCCCTCATTCTCAACGCACTTATCTCACAATTCTTCCCACTTAACTGAAGCAATTCTGAAAGTCTTCACTGGGTGTGATAAAAAATACAGTGATGCATTCTTCCTGTTAAGCAGCCTGAAGTGACCTGTGAAAATGGTCCACTACTCTCTTGACCCAGAAAACCCCACAAAATCATGCAAATCAACAGGCTCAAATCTGCGTGTTCACCTTAAGAACACCAGTGAAACTACGCAGGCCATCAAGGGTAAGTGTATGAGAAAGGCCACCAAGTATCTGAAGGATGTCACTTTAAAGAAGCAATGGTGTTGCAATGGTGGAGTGGATAGCTGTGCCTAGGCCAAACACAGGTCAGTGGCTCACAAAGAGTGCTGAATTTTTGCTCCACATATCCAAGTGAATGCACCCAAGATGCCCCGCTGTACTCACAGAGCTCATGGCCAGACTAAGCTAGACATGAGCTTCCCCTGCCCCACTGAGATAATCCTTGTAGAAATGGAACAAACTGTTCCTAAACCAGAGGAAGAAGTTGCACAGAAGAAACAGATAAATAAATGTAAAGCAAAATTACAGTGAAGGCAGCTGCGAAGTGCCATCCAATGGAAAGAGGCTCATAAACCTTTACAGCATGTCCTCACCCCCACCTCGTTTACTGTATCTGGTACCAGGTGACTTTGTCTTTCTCATCAAGTCAAAATGATCATGAAAGGCAAATGATCTGAACTGATTCACGGCACTGAGACAGCCATTATAGCACAACTAAAGACATCATGAAAGAGGACTTAAAAAAAGAAGAAAGGAGACTTTCAGAACTGTTTCAGAAAGCGCAGGAACAATGGCAATAAATGTTTGAAGCAAGGGAGAATATTTTGAAAGATTGATGGAAATGTGTCTTTTACTGTGATACACCTTTAAAAATTTAAACATTCACTGTATTTTTCAACCATACCAGAAATTTATCCTCAAACACTGATCCTTCTCTGTGGTGAAAACATTCAATATCTTTCCTTCTTTTTGGAATACACAGTAATTCTTTGTTATCTAGGGTCACCCTACCGAGCAACAGCACATCCAAATTTAACAGTACTTCTGTCTGTGACTTAGGACCCCTTGACCAAGCTTCCCTCCTCCTCCTTTCCCCTCCACTTCCTCTAGCCTCTGGTAACCTCCATTCTTCCCTTACCTTCTGTGAGACCAGCCTTTTTTTAGGTTCCACATGAGTGAATAATGCAGTAGTTACCTTTCTATGCCTGGCTTATTTCACCTTCAAAATATCTTCTAGTTCTAGGAATGTTGTCATAAATGACAGAATTCCATCCTTTATAAATTTTTGAATGTTCCTCTGTATATAATCATCACATTTTCTTTATCCACTCATCAGTTCATAAACAGGTTGGTTCCAAGTTTTGGCTATTGGTACAATAAACACATGCAATCCCAACCTTTTTTGGGGCGGGGGGCTGGGTCCAGGGGATCGAGCTCAGGACCTTGCACTTGTGAGTCAGGCGCTGTGCCACTGAGCTAAATCCCTGGCCTCTCAATCCCAAATTTTGGATCTTTATATGTGAAGCATTTATTCTCTCTGGAGGCTTTTAGGAAGCTTCTCACTATCCTAGATGTTTTTAATTTTCAAAACAATGTATCTTGATATAGTTTTCAGTTACCTCTTGACAGCTGTTATACATTTTCAATCTGGAATCCTATGGCTCTCAATTCCAAGATATTCTCTTTTTTTGGTACTGGGGATCGAACTTGGGACCTTGCGCTTGCTGGCCAGGCAGTGGAACCACTGAGCTAAAATCCCCGGCCTCTAAAATATTCTTAATATGGCTTGTCTTAGTATTTATTTTCCTTTCCACTTTTGTTATTCCTTTCTGATAGTCTTAGGATTTAGGACAATGAACAACTTGGATTGGTGTTTGAATTTCTTACCTTTTATTTTTTTGTTTTTGGTTTTTTTTGCCACTGGGGATCGAACTCGGTTTCTTGTGCTTACCTTTTCTTTTCTACTAAACTTTTCTTGATCTGACATATATTCTAGACTCTTTTTTGAGACAGGGTCTCACTACATAGCCCTGGCTGGCCTCAAATTCACAGTGATTCTCCTGCCTCAGCCTCCAGAGGGCTGGGATTATATGCGTGTACCATCACACCCAGAATGAAATTTCTTCAACTTGAGCTTTCAGTATTTCCAATATAATTTTAAGCTCTCGTTATTTAATATCCTAGAACTCTTAATTTTATTTTTAAAATAGTATTCAGTTCTTTCATGAATATAATTTCTTTTCTTTCTGTAGATATTGACATTTTTAAGGTTACTTATTTTAAATTTAGTCCTTTCTAGGGTCTAATTCTTTTATTTTTATCTGTCACAAAGGAAGCTTTTTCCAAAGGGGATTCTTAGTAATTGTAATGAAAAGAGAAGGATTAAACAAGCTGACTGGAAATTTTGTATGCATGGGTGGGGGGTTTTCTAGACATGTGGGCTTCACTGAAGTGTTGCCAAGATGATCCATACAGGTGGAAACTTGTAATCAAATTTCTTTAGATACTACTAAGTGCATTCTGGAAGCTAGGTGGGGGATCATTTTCAAAATCTGTATTTTACTCGATTTCTCAGATTTCTGGCCAGTGCCTTATTATCTGGCCTCAGCTATTAGTGGTGTCCTTAAATTTAGTTTCTTCCATTCAATTTCAACTCAAAACAAACCTGTCTTCTGCTAGAGAGAAGCATCAAACTGCTGCTTCTTAACTCTGGAACAAACCTCATGTCTAACTTTTCAACCTTATCTCTACCTTTCTCTTGTGGAATATTTCACCTCACCAGTTTCTGAGCCTTTCTGGTGCTCTGGAATCACAGCTGGGTGCTTACTACTGACAACGGCTTTCCAGCTCCATCGAGTTTTTGTCTTTCACAATTTGCTAACACTTGCTCATCTGGTTGTCTTCTTGTTTTCATCACCTCCTGTATAGATTTAATCTTTTGTATTTCCATATTCTCATTTTAGTGGGACTTCCAAGAGATCAGGAAAAAAGGTTCAGTTTGCCATATTTAATTATAAGCCTATCTAAGAAATAAGACGTAAATAATGCAGAACAAAGCATTCTACTAATAGGAAGAGAAAAAGAAAACCACGAAATGACTGATATCAGATATTTCTCTGAAATAAAGTTTGGTAAGGGGAGGACAGGAAGAACATGATTATAGTGAACAGCAGGGGCTAACAAATACACAGAAAAAAACATACGAAATCAATTTTGACCCACTTGCTTTTCATCTCCTAAAAGTACTTATGTCAGGCTGGGAATGGAGCTCAGTGGTAGAGTACTTGCTCAGCATGCACAAAGCCCTCCTAGATTCCATCCCCAGTACTGCAAAGCAACAACAAAGCTCTCAGTGTTAACAACAAAAAGAAATAATGAATCTTTGCTATACAATTAACATTATGTACTAAACCTAGTCCAAATAGCTGATGAATTTTAAACATACAGTTGACAAATCATGGCAATGAAAACAGAAATCTCTGCAAACTAACTTACTTGTGTGGAGTCTGTCAGACCTCTGGAAAGACTTCTTCCCCAAGCCTAGCAACGGATTTTCCACTTTAACTGAAGAAGAAAAGCTGGAGTTTGAGTTCTGGGGGCTGCTTGACTGTCCATCAGACTGCTTTCCTTCCCATATTACTGGAGGAAAAAAATATGTAAAGACTAGTGGCACTGAGGTAATACGATGAACCAATCATTCCGTGTTAACTAAAGGGAGTTAGAGGAAGTAGACCAGCAAATGTGTTCTGAGTCTGAGAAAGTAAAAATAAACTCTTCCTTCTAGCATACTGTTCAGTTCTGGTGATAAGTCTTTCTAACAAAAAAGAGAGTTCTACAAGGCTCACAACTCTGACTCTATAGAATATTCTCTCCGTAGAATCAGCTTATGGCATCAAACTAAATTATGAGTGTAGATTAACCATAAAACAAACAGCAAACAAAATCCAAAAGGTGTACAAACATGTCTGATAGGTAGTCTGTTTTCATAGGAAAATCTCTTATTTTTAAAGGACAGAACTAGTAAAGAATTCACTTTCACTCTCTTGGAAACTACAGATTTATAAGGTTACTGATTAGAAGCTTCTGAATATTACTAGCTAAGATGTACTGGAAATTAGTCATTTACTAATGACTAGCCTTCTTATATGCTAATCTCACTGATGAGCTTTTAAACAATTACTGTATGTGATTATTTCCCATAAAAATTTTCCCGTTTATCCCCGAAGTATTTTTACTAATGATTTGGCAGTACAAGGATTATATAAGTAAACACAGCAATTTAAAACTAAATGATATAATATACAAATTTGTAACACAAACACAAAAATAATGGGAAAAAGAAACCTCTGCTGAAAAAACTGCCCAGGCTGCCTACCAGGTTTGACAGGTACAGAGTCACCGGCTGCCTTGACAGCCTTGAGAGCCGGGTGCTGGCTGGAGGACACTGACACGCTCGGCCTGCACTGCTGCTGCTGCTGCTGCCTCTGCTGCTGCTGCTTTAGGGCCTACGAAGAGACAGTAGACTGTGAGAAACAAATTAGTTCTCAGTAGTAAAAAGTAAATGACTTGTTTTTAAGTGGTGAAAAGCATGGTGATAATTCAATTTCTCTGAAATCTAGCAAAACAAACAAAAACCTAAATTAAGCCAACCAAACAAAAGGCTTAAGTAATCTTTAGCGTTTGGCTATTTTTTTCAATATTATTTTTTATATATAAATGTGAGGAATAGTCATGAACATTTTTTTTATATACTAAAACTCACCAGTAAGCCAAGGATTTTGCAATCTTGTAAATGAGAGAATTGCATAATTTTAAATCATCCCTGGAAACAGAATTCCAAGCCCTTTACCAAGAATAGTTCTATTTGCCTCAACCCTATGGAGAAATGCAAATATTTACCTTATTTATGGTTCAGAGGTGCTACATTTGAATCAAAGGTTGTATGTAATTAACAACCTGAGTTTTCTTAAGAGCAATGAAACTTCACCAAATTTTACCAATTACCAAATCTCAACAATTTAAGTAATGCAGTAACAGAAAGAAGGAAGAGGGGACAATTCTGGCTCTAAGAACAGAGTGGTACCTGCTGGTTACTCCAGACTACATTTATTTCTGAGAGATTCTTAAATTACAGAATATGTTTGAATACGAAAGCCAAGAAACTCCCCAAATTTTAATCATGAAAATGAGACAACTTTTTAATTAAAGGGAAGGGTGACTGAACCCAAAAAGTAATTTCCAAAAAAACCTGGAGATCTATGACTTTGATAACTTGTTAGTTTTTTTGTTTTGTGTTAGTACTGGCAGTTGAACCTTTCTTTACCATCCCACCCCCTAGACAAAGTGTTGTTAAATTGCTAAACTGCCCAGGGTGGACTTGACCTTGCAATCCTCCTGTCTCCGCCTCTCAGAGTGCTAGGATTACATGCAGGTGCACCAGGCCTGTCCAATTTTAAGCTTTAACCTTCAGGATCATCATGCAGAAAAGCATGGAGTAACTGGGTATTGTTCTGGTTTCCCATTCCCTTACCCCAACATAGTTTTCTTCTGTTTTAATGCTCAGACAGATCTCTGGCTATGCCATAAGCAGTGGCAACAACTGGCCTCCCCAGCTCTAAGCTAACAGTGGAGAAGTGGAAGAGCCAGATGGAGGTCTGGTTTAGATTGCCCTGCACCACTCATAACAGGTGAGCCAGAAGTGCTGTGTGTACAAAGTGACCACTGACTGAGGTTTATTCTCTCATTCTTCGCAATCAGACCAGAAGCTGCCCGCAGGCTTCCCAAGTGGTGAGCTATGAGAATTCATGCTTTGCTACTCACAGTACCTAGCGTCATTCCAGGCTCAGACAAAGCTTAATAGAACCACAGTCCCATCTAGTTCTGCTATGATCATGTAAATTCTGATACATGACAGAAGCAGAATAATTTATGCTACTCTGATCAAGAACTGTACACAGTTCTTTGCCCCTTAATAGTTTACAAACTCTGTTCCTAATTCTATTTTAATTCTTTTTTGAATTGCCTTTAACTCCTGGCAATTCTCCTGCTTCAGCCTCCCAAGTGCTGGGATTACAGGAGTTCAGCACCACAACCAGGTCTATTTTAAAATTAGAGATTTTTTTTTTCCTTTGGAACTGGGGATCGAACTCAGGACCTTGCACTTGCCAGGCAGGTGCTGGAGCCACTGAGCTAAACCTCCAACCCCTTTAATTTTAAAATTAATAAAAAAAGTATTGACAAGAATTTCCTAAATTGTGAAGTAATTTGTCTAATACTAGGAAAAACATACATTAGAGATAAGGACTTAGTTTATATACCATGTTGATATTCCCTAAAGAAAACATAACGTTTGATTGTTAAAATAACAAGAGTAGCCAGGCATGGTGATACGTGCCTGTAATCCCAGCACTTGGGAGGCTGAGGCAGGAGAACTGCTGTGACTTTGAGGCCAGCCTACGATACACAGTGAGTTGAAGGCCAGCCTGAACTACATACACAGTGCTATCCTGTCCCAAAACAAACAAACAAACAAACACCCTACCCAAACATGCCCCTTTCAAAGTAGCAAGTGTATGTTACAGTAATGTATGTGTCATAAATAAGGTGACAAGATTTAAGAAAATATCTGTCCTTTCTTTGGGAAAATAATTTTATACTTATTAAAGTCTTCTGAAGAAATTATAAAGTAAATACAAGTACTATATCAGCATATCCAGAGGGCCGGGGATTTAGCTCAGTGGCATGGCACCTGCTTCACAAGCACAAGGTCCTGAGTTCAATCCCCACTACCAGGAAAAAAAAAAAAATCATACCCAGGTAGGCAGTAATCAATCTTCTCAAATTCATGAATAATGTTTAATAAATGCATTTTTTTTTTCCAGTACTGGGGATCAAACTCAGGACCTTATGCTTTCCATGCAGGTGCAGTGCCACTGAGCTAAATCCACGGCCCTAATAAATGCATTTTTGGTTTGAATACTTAAACTATGTAACTTTTGGGCTGGGGATTTAGCTCAGTGGTTCCGGTGCCTGCCTCGCAAGCACAAGGTGCTGAGTTTGATCCCTGGTACCAAAAAAAAAAACCTTATGTAACTTTCAATGTATTTTTCTTATTCAACTTTTTTACACTTAATCATATTCTTTTTTTTTGGTACTGGGGATCGAACTTGGGTCCTTGCACTTGTGCAGTAGGCGGCGAAACCACTGAGCTAAATCCCTGGCCCACTTAATCATATTCTTATTAAAATGTAGCAGTTTTGTGGCTTCATGTATGTTTTTACAAATGGCGTCATGTCCTACATATTTAGTAAAATTTAATGATTCAATATGCTATCTTCTTGGCAATTTTTCCATATCTAAACTGCAGCACAAGCACATTATAAAATAAACCTCTAGTCTTGTACAATTGTACACCTTAAGGACATATGATTATAATTTTTGTTGGTGAGACAGGGTCTCACTATATAATTCAGGCTGAACTTGAACTCACTCTATAGCTCAGGCTGGCCTGGAGTGCTGGGCTTATAAGCATGCGTCACCATGCATGGTGACATGATTATTTATTAATGAATTCCCTAACTGAATATATATTAGGGAGGTTATTTGCAAGTTCTTGCTATTACAAACGTAAATGTAATTATCTTTCTGTGTTTGTATATATATCTTTCTAACATAAATTCCACAATGTTTAACTGCTTAAACATGGAGTACTGGCATTTAAAAATGATAGATGTGGTAAAGGCCTGCAAAGCGGTTCAGTAGCTTATATTTCACCAGCAAATGAGTAACCACTTTCCTACATACTCACCAATACTTGATATAATTAAGTTCCTTAATATATACCAAAATCTGAGGATAGAAATAATCTGTCATTTTAATGTTTCTGTAATTATCAGTCAGTCTATGTACTGATCATTTGTACTTCAAAACAATTCCAAAGCTAGTTCCTTAAAAAGCCTAGTAAAACAGACATTACTGGGGGAAAAAGAAGATATAGATGTACAACACTGATGGGCTGAGACTGGGGTCGGGCACAAGGAGGCATAAAGGACAATCTATAAAACTTTATACCAATATTTGCAAAACTTAGGCAAACTGGACCATTTCCTAAGAAAAATAAATTTCCAAAATTGATTCAAAAAGCAAAAAACTCAAGAGACTAATAGTAATAGATAATAATGTAATGCAGAATGATTTTAAAAGGTGTTATTACTGAACTTAAAAATAATTTCTGTAATTTTGCCCAAAATCTAGAAAAGGAGCTATACAACTTACTTTATAATGGTAGAGCAATCTTTTATTTCAGAACTGTACTGAGATAGTATAAAAACACTACAAGATCCAAAGTAAAATTAATATTATTTTTAAAATATGTAAAGAACAGGTTGGGTTTATTTCAGATAGTTAAGTATAGCATATAATAGAAACTGGCTGTGCCATTCTCTGTGTCAGTTTAAAGGAGAAAAACTACCTGATCATCTTTGTTTTCAAGGAAAACACCTGAAAAATTCAACTCCTCTTCAAGATTTAGTTTTTTGTTTTTGTTTTTGGTACCGGAGATCGAACTCGGGTCCTAGCACTTGGCGCAGCAGGAGGCGAAACCACTGAGCTAAATCCCCGGCCCTCCGCTTCATGATTTAAAAAGCATATACACAACAAAGAATACTTCTTAGCAAACTAGGAACTTCAAAATTATAATAAAAAGGTCATCTACCAAAAACATGCAATGAGCTTTGCATAAATTACTAATGCCAAATTTGGATACTGCATGAAATTTCCCTTCAGAAAAGGTCTAATGTTAAAGCTTTTCAATGACTGCCAGAACTGTACATTTCTCATGTGGGAGATTATCCTTCTGATAAAGAGGCTAGCCACGCTTACCTGCTTCAGGGCCTTCTTGGTGTGCTTCTGTGATGGAGAAATGACTTTACCTGCCGGAATGGTGGGTGATGGACAGCCTGACTGGGGCGAAGACGGCTGTGACAGTCTAGACGATACTACGGGAAAAGGTGACAATGAAAAACTGTGTTTGATCAGAACTGGTATCAATTACCACCTATCCCAAGATCATATGCTGCTACCTGTGTTAAGAACCGTGACCAAAACACTTTGGGGAAGGATCTTCTTTTTAGAATTCTACTGCAAACAGCCTCCCTTTTCAGTTTATTTCCTCAGAAAGCTCTAGTGAAGGATGACAGGATGGGGAAAGGAAGGAAGTTACTGCGCATTACTTTTCGTTCTTTGAATTTTCAACAGAATTGATTAAATACGAAGGAAGTAGAGTATAAATCATTAATCATCAAATTAGAAAAGATCCTAGGGATCTTCAGACAGCCTCAATGTTCCTAAGGAAAATCTGAAGGTGAATCGTGGCAAAGTGGTACAGTGCAAAGCTATGGATCAACAATTTAAAATAAAGGCAGTAAGGCCATTTCACCTCAGAAACTGCACAGTTTTAACCCTTATATTCTTCTGACTCCTTAAATCAATAAATTTCAGACTCCTTATTAAACAAAAAAGGAAACTGCAATCACTATTGCTTTAATGATGACTACTTAAGAGTGTATGTTTACTGCTGTCTTCCTCCTTTGTAGTAGCTGAACTGAAAAAGCTCTATAGCAAAATGGCAAGGACAGTAAGGTTTAAGATATATGGCTACAAGAAACAGTTCATTAGAATATGTATTTCGATTTTTTCTTAGATGTTTTAAGAAATACACAGTAGACACATTTGAAGGGAGTCACAGACAATATTAAGGCAATTTATCTTTAGTTCTATAACCCAGTCTTTATGAAAAAGTTTACATAGGGAGAAAACTGACATACAATACTATGATCTATCTTCCTTTCTCGCTTTCTTGTTTTCTCTTTCTTTTCGGAGAACTAGGGATTGAACCCAGAGCCTCGAATACTCTAGGCAAGTCCTTTACAACTGAGCTATATCCCAGCCCTTAGGGTGTGAGGTTTAAACACAAAACAAAACAAAACACAAATTGTTCATGGCAACATATTAAGACAAGAACTGGGTAACTCTGGAAGTGGTTGAGCAACAAAAAGAAACCATATCCTTGTTGTACTTTGATGCTGACCAATTTTTTAAAAAATGTTTTAAGATATAATTTATATAGCACACAAACTCACTTGTTTAAAGTATAAAATTTAAAATTTAATGGATTTTAGCATATTTTATCACAAAACTGTATAACCATTACCACCATCAGTTTCCACCCTACCCCCTCACTCCCTCAATCCCCAGTATACCTGCTACCCGTTACCTGTACACAGTCCTAAGGCAACTACTTATCTACTTCCTGTCTCTATGGATTTCCTATTCTGGACATGTCATATGACAGTTTTTGTGACTGGATTTTTTAATTCTCTATGTATAATGTTTTAAAGGTTGTGACATATGTGATTAGTCCTTGTAATTAGTAATGTAACACTGTATGCACATGCCATGTTTTGTTTATTTACTGGCTGAAGAACACTTGGATTCTTTCTACTTTTTTGGCTATTATGGATAATGTTATAAAGAATATTCATGTGCAAATTTTTGTGTGTGCTTTCAATTCTCTTGCCTTCATTCTCATGCCTGGAAGTGGAATTGCTGGGTCTTATGGGAACTCGGTCATGGCTGTTCCATCTTTTGGCTTGCCTGGGCCACACTGAATGAAGAGGAATTGTCTTGGGCCATAGGACTTTTTTTCTGGGAAGACAGGTCTTATAAAAGTCTAGTAGAGGGCCGAGGGTTTAGCTTAGTGGTTCCGCCGCCTGCCTTACAAGCTCAAGGACCTGAGTTCGATCCCTGGTACCAAAAAAAAAAAGTGTAGTAGAGCTGGGCCTGGTGGTACAGGCCTATAATCCCAGCACTTGGGAGGCTGAACCAGGTTTGCCAGCCTGGACTCCATAGTAACTTAGAGGCCAGCCTGAACCACAGAGAGACCCTGACTCAAAAAAACAAAAGCAAAAAATAAAGTCTAGTAGAGACACAAGATCAAATTTTTGAGTTGTATGTCTGACTGCAACTCTATACATTTTAAAAATTAATAAGTAAGCGACTACTTTTCTAGTATTAGCAATGTTGTATACCATGCACAAAAAACTATGATACATCTCTATACTTCCTAAGCACAGTAACTTTTGGCCCAACTGTTTTCTAAATGGCTGTTCTACTTTTATAATTTCAATGGGAATGTTTAAGGGTTTCATTTTCTTTACATCCTTGCTGACACTTCTTTGTCCTTTTATTTTATTTGGTCAATGTTTTTGAAAGGTCATAATGAAAATACAAGTTAAAAATATTCAATTAGTTTTCTTTTCCTTAATGTTTTGCAGAAATTTATTTTATTTTATTTTTTTGTTTTGTTTTTGGTTTTTTTTGGTATCGGGGATCAAACTCAGGTCCTTGTGCTTGCGCAGCAGGCGGCAAAACCACTGAGCTAAATCCCCAGCCCACAGAAATTTTAAAATATAATTTTTCCACCTGTCCCAAATAGTACCTGATTATAAAGAGAAAACAAACAAGCCAAAATAACCCCGTTAGAAAATAAAAGAATTGTACTTTACACCCTGGAAAAGGGATAGAATAGCTATCTGTAATTACCAGGAGAAACTGCTTCAAATGGTTTTTTCCCCTTAAGGCAGAAAGCCTTTCTAGCAAATAAAACCATAACTGAAGGAAATCATGAAAGTTACAAGACCCAAAAGTGAGGACCATCTTGCAGATTTGACTGGTCTCAACTTCTATGAAACTTAAACACTGTTCTAACTTTTTAAATATTAAAGGCTCAGAACTACACACAATGAACTAGATTTAGATACATGTTGAAGAACTTTTCTCTCAATTTCTTTTTTTCTGGTACCGGGGATCCAACTTGGGTCCTTGTGCTTGCGAGGCAGGAGCCAGAACCACTGAGCTAAATCCCCGGCCCCTCTCATTTTCTTTTAGTGGTTATACTAATTATCTTCAGACACAATTTTATTAATAATAGAAACCAAGCACCTTCTAAGTGTCTAAAATTGTAATAGGTTCATATTAACAGGGTTTCAATGAACTCTCAACTACCCTCAGGCAACACAAGCTCTCTTTCTACTCCAAAATCTTCCAATTCTACATTCACAGATGTCCAAATAATATAGTTTGCTGGCATCCTTTACATTTTTCTACGGAAATAAACTTAGAACAATATTCTAAGGACATATATACAAATAAATCTCAAATGCACACATTTATCTGCACACTGTGTTGGTATTGTCCAAATCTTACATATCAAGAAATTTAATTAGCTTGCTAAAAAGACACACAGCTAGTAAGATCTGAATTTTATCTTCAGAATAATAAGGAGGTACCTGGACTGGGCTGATAATGGTGGCCACAAAAAAGATATGTTCATATCCTAATTCCCCGAGCCTGTGAATGTTACTTTATCTGTGGAAAGGGTCTTGGTAGAGGCAATTATGATAAGTATCTTGAGATGAGATGATCGCCTTGGATTATCCAAGCGGGCCCTAAATCCAACAACAAAATATCTTTAAAGAGACACATAGAGAAGACAGGCAGAGAAGGCAGGGATGCAAAGAGTGAGCCAGGGGTTGGACAATGTGGCCACACGGCAAGTTAATCAGTAACTACCAGAAGCTAGAAAAAGCAAAAACAGATTCTCCCCCAAAGCCTCTGCGGGGAGAGCAGCCCTGCTGACACTTTGCTTTTAGGCTTCTGGACTCTAGAACTTAGGAGACAACAAATTTGTTGTTTTAAGCCATACAGTTTGGGTAACTTTCAGCCTTAGGAAACTAATACAGTCCCTAAAACAAGTGAGTTTAATTTTTTAAGTATCATTATCTACTCATAGATGTTTACATATTTGAAATGTTTGAATGAAAAGAAATTACTAAAGATTTGGCTCTGAAATTGTCCTATTTGAGCTAGTGGCAAATTCTTCATGTTGTAAACTACCTTCAACACATGGCTGGGTGTACAAAGAAGTTGGATGCATCTCCTGCGTACTTGTTATGCCTAAATCTGGGTCACACTTCCCAATCGTACCTGTTATCATTTACTGAAAAACAGTATTTCAAGACCAGATTTTGCACAATAGAAGTGTTTACTGCTTCTGGGTTATCATTGGTTCTAGGACTTTTCAGTGGTGAGAACAATAAAACAATTCTCTTAGAAAGAAAAAACTAAATTCATGCTTAGATACTAAATTTGAGATTACAGGATTGTCATTATTTAACTTTTCTGATTTTACATTTCTGTTGTTTTTTTTGCTCCTGATAATACTGGTTCCTAATAATATTACTATAATTACTAATTTGCTTTCTCCTAATTGAATAATTTGCATTTTTATTCTTAAGCTTTCCACCGGTTTATTTTTTCACTTTTTTAGTTATATATTTTCTTTTTATTGACAAAAGGTATCTAGTGGTATAAATTAACTCGTTTGGGTGCAACTCATAAATTCCGATACAATATATCTAATTTTTTTAAGACAATGTTTCACTTTATAATTCAGGCTGGCCCTGAACTCATTATGTAGCCTAGGCTGGCCTCAAACTCACAACCATCCTCCTGCCTCAGCCTCCCCAGTGCTGGGATTGCACGAGTGTGCCACCACACCCAGGAACAATATATTTTAAATGTTTTGAAGTTATTATTTTTAATCTTTTTTGAGCCAAGAGAAATTTAATAACATTATAAAATCTTCTAGGTAAAAGGGTCTGTTTTTTGATGTTATTTTTAATGGCATTCCATATACCTGTTATTGGCAATTTGATGCTTCTGTGGTCTAAAGTATGACTAATTTTGTAAATGTTCTATTTGTGGGCCGGGGATTTAGCTCAGTGGTTTTGCCACCTGATGCGCAAGTGCAAGGACCCAAGTTCCATCCCTGGTACCAAAAAAAAAAAGTTCTATTTGCAACTTGAAAAGGTTTATTCTCTATTAGAGAGAGCTAGATAAATCTATAAAGGGACCTCATGCTTCAAGAACTGAACAT